ATACAACTGTTATCCCAATCCATACACACATCAATTGTGTAAAGCGCATTTGTACATCGTTTCTCAAAACATTTTCTCCATTTAAACCCCCGACAAGTGGATTTTCTTTATTAAGAGGGTCATGAAGACAAAACTGGTGAAAAAGCCAATGTGGTGAATTAAACTTATGGGTCCAGCTATCAAAAGATATACTTGCAGTTTTGTCTTCATGACCCTCTTAATAAAGAAAATCCACTTCCCAAAGTGGATTGCCTCTGTAAGCACAGGGCAGGAATTCATGACACACATTTTTGGGTGTAGGGACAGGAGTTGACACTCCACAAATGGCAGCACTGCAGCTAAACACACACTCCCCTTCAACTGAGCAGGCACTCCTCTGTGTCCTTGGGCCCACTGAGATGACAAGCTTCCCCACAGATCACAGCCAGAGGCACTGTGAATGTTCCCCATTTCCTCCCCTCATTAGAACAGCAACAGCAGGAGCCTAGCAATGAGGTCCAAGGGTTAGGTTATCATCATGATGTGAATGGGTGACAGCCCACCTCATACAGACTATAAAAGAATTCCCCAGAGAAAGCCCTTTCTACAGAAACTGTCCTATCTAGCCAGTCTCCACTGGAAGAAGGATTGTATCCCCATCAGTAAGAACCCTAATGCAAATAGAATGACATCACTCCAATTGGTTCTCAGTCAGTTCTTCTATCTATCCCTGCCTTTTTATAAAAACTTTATCATCGGGGGGAGCGGGGAGGGAGGGGAAAAATGAGGACCTAATGTCGGGGATTTAAATGGAGAGAAAATGTTTTGAGAAACGATGTACAAATGCGCTTTACACAGTTGATGTGTGTATCGATTGGGATAACAGTTGTATGAGCCCCTAATAAAATGTTTTAAAAAAAACAAAAAAAACTTTATCCTCACCTCTTGTGGGTTGTTCCTAAATATTGGGGGACAAAATTCCATCATAGCGGCTAAATCGGAGGAAGTGAAAAATTTGATTGTTGTCAAGTTCACCTAAAAAGATCCTCCCAAGGGCCCAAAGAGTATTTCAAAAGGAGAAATATAACCCAGTTGTTCAGATTCTCTGAGGTTCATGGGGAGAACTGGTACCACACAATACAACTAGAAGCCCTGTGAGAGTGGCTACGAGGCTCAGAAGGAAAAAAAATTACTGCCACTAAGTAGATTAAGGCTTATAGCAACGGGCTAGACATGCCTCTGTGGGTTTCCGGAGCTGTAACTCTTTATCTAGTAGTAGAAAGTGTCATCTTTCTCTCAAGAAACAACTGGTGGTTTCAAACTGGTGACCTATGGTTAGCAGCCCAATTCATAATCAACTATACCAGCAGGGCGCCTTCACTATGATTTAGAGTCAGGCTTTAAAGGAGGATAAAGGAAATGTGACACAGAGAGCTGCAACCTGAGAGCCAAACAGCAGACCCAGAGTGGCCTCCAAAGACATGTGCACCATGGAAATCAATGCTGCCACAGACAGGCCTGCAGATGAACAAACAGGATGAATATTCAACAGCCATATGATGGGCCTGCAGCTCACAAGGTTACTCCAGCTAACCTCAGAGTGCTCTCTCCACCAAGAGGCGAAAAGCAAGACTGGCTGGCCCAGTCTTGAACTACAGGAAGTTCAAGAGAAGGTGGACACTGAGAGGGATGTACTGGACCCTCTTAGAGAGTTGCGGTCTGGTCAGGTGGTGAAATTACAGAAACGAAAAAGCTGAGTTTAATTTTTAAATTTCAATACTAGAATAGACAGATTACCAGGCAATCATCAGGCATACAAAGGGTTACACAGGAGGCTGTGGGCAGCAATAAGAAAGTTATTCAGAGTTGGAGAATGGATGTCTATCATACAGCCATGAACATCCCATTTCTAAGATTTTTCTCTGGCTTGGGAAAAAGAAATGGGAAATATCAGGAGACAGAATAATGAAATGTTTCTGAAGGAATTAAAAAAGGACATGCATAAATTTACTTTTGTAAACTTTTATTCTAAAAGTTCAAGTTAGGGTTATCTTAAGTAGCAAAGTTAATGTTATATTCATCTTCTTCTACATGCCTTTTTGGTCTCCTAAACAGTGTAGGCATTACCTTTGGAAGAGCCAAATGTTATGTTTTAAAGTTCTCATTTAAAATTAAGGCAACACACACAAAAAAATTAAGGCAACATGCATATTCCTTTTTCTTTGCCTTTTTCTCCCCACCCCCACCCCCACCCTTCTGTTTCTCTCTGAGTTGATGGTGACCTCTGGTCAGCAGCCAGGCGAGCCACTAAAGATCCAAAATGACTACTAGATGCTTTTGGATCTGTGCCAGCTCATAATCTTGGAGAGCCTTCAGAGGAGGCAGAGGTGAAAAGCAAATAATGCTAGAACCACGTGCAATTAACCCCCAGGAAAATAGAGCCATGAGTCCCAGAAGGAGGAGTCAGGAGATTGCACAGAGGAAGGAAGGAATTCTGACTTGCCCTTGAAGTATGGACAGAGGAAGGGGTTGCTAGTGTGAGAAGAAAGTGAGGGGAGTTGGTCTGAGCACAGAGAATAGAAAAGAGTGATTTATTTCCCCGATTTCAAAGACACGATAATCCCGGCTGAACCCAACCGCAATGTACAAGGATTTGAGCGAGAGTGTCAGGAAGGGATCCCATGCTTCTGTGCTTCCTCACCTTTGGTGCTCTGGACCACAGTGCCCACCAGGGCCTCTGCTTCTCCTCAGAAATGGTATCACCCACTCAGGTCCTCAGATTTCACCCTCTGATGAGTCTAACTAGTCAAAGCTAACTGGTGAGAGGGTTTGAAATTCAGCCTTTATGGATGACCATCAAGTGTGACCCATACGAAGGGAGTATGAGGTAGACCAGTGACTCAGGACTCTGACTGCGCATTACAACCTCCTAAAGATGCCCTTAAGCCGTCAGTATCACAGCCACCCCAGATATTCTGATTCATTTGGTCAGTGCTGGAGACTAGACTTCAGGGACTTTAAAAACTTTCATGGTGATTCTAATGTTCAAAATACGATAGCATGTAACTTTCCGAACAGATCACCCAAAAAAAGGAAAACTTGGGTGTAAAATTATTCACAAGTTAGTGAGCAAAAAGAAGTCTCACAACTAAGCCTATACAGCAAAGTTACAGGCAAATCCCAGTCTACTAATAAATAACCATAACTTCCTATGTGCTTCTAAGATGTTGATTTCCAGACTGGCATTAATAAAATAAATGCTACCTACCTTATACTTAATTGGTGAAAAAGAACGTTGCCTCTGAATCAGAAGTAGTTGTGACATTTTCATTGGGTAGAAATCCTCTTTCTCCCAATCACTTTTCTTAGAGCCCCTTTCAGGTCCTTGTTCCTGAGGCTGTAGATGAAAGGGTTCAGCATGGGGGTCACCACCGTGTACATCACAGTAGCTGCTGTGTCTGACTTAGCTGAGTGGGAGGATGATGGGCTGAAATACACAGCAATGATGGTGCCATAGAAGAGGGAAACCACAGCCAGGTGGGAGCCACAGGTGGAGAAGGCTTTCCACTTTCCCTTTGCAGATGGGACTCTCAGGACAGCAGAGGTGATGCAAACATAGGACACCAAGATGCAAACCAATGGTATCGTCATTATCAAGCCCCCCTCAAACAGAATCACCATTTCATTGAGATATGTGTCAGAGCAGGAGAGTTTCAGAAGAGCAGCCACGTCACAGAAGAAGTGGGGGATCCGGTTGTCTGCACAGAATGACAGCCGAGCCATCAGTAGGGTATGCAATAGGACATTCAGGTTGGCAGCAACCCATGATCCAATGACCATCAGGGCACAGAGCTGAGGGGTCATCTTTGTTGTGTAGTGTAAGGGGTGGCACACGGCAACAAAGCGATCATAGGCCATCACAGCCAGGAGGAAATTGTCCATGTCGGCAAACATGAAAAGAAAATACAATTGGGTAAGGCACCCAGGGAAAGAGATAGACTGACTCCCAAGGATGTGGTTGACCAGCATCTTGGGGATGGTGGTGGAGGAGAAGCAGACATCCACGACGGACAGGTTGCTGAGGAAGAAGTACATGGGGGTGTGCAGGCAGGAGTCTGTGCTGATGGCCAGGATGATGAGCAGGTTTCCCAGGACCGTGGTCAGGTACATGCTCAGGAAGAGCATGAAGAGGAGCTGCTGCTGCTGGGGCTGCCACGAGAGCCCCAGGAGGAGGAACTCGGAGACACTCGACAGATTTGCCCTGTTCATAGGCATGGACACCTGAGCAACACATACAGACTTGTAAACCTGGAAAAGGATGGTTGAGATGAGACTATAAAGAAGGGCACTAGAGGAGTGCTCTGAATGACTCAGGTCAGTCCTTAGGAATTTGTCCCCTGGGGGTTACAGCCAACTACAGACATCTCTTAGCTTCTACTTCTTTGTTAGCAAAACTTTAACAAATACTTGGTGCATACATACTCTCTCTGGGATCATGCTCAGAAGATTTGATGGTGGCTTTGTCAGCAGTTGCTTTTGTACTGGTCTAACTTCCTAGCATTACCATGAAGTTGTCTAAAGTAAACATTTTAAAGCACTATTAGTACACACTATAAGAACTTGTACTGAGTAGCAGACAATAACTACAAACAAGTTTTTCCATGGAAATTGGTGTGTAGGAAAATAAAGGAATCACCCCTGCTAAAGGGAATGAGTTTAGAAATGGCCACAACAAAGAGAGAAGGAAGATTCCCTTCTCATGATGGACTCTGTTGACATCACAACGCATCACCCTAAAATTAGGGAGAATGAATTAAATTTTTGAAAGAAAAAAAAGAAATGGGTGTGTAGGAATCAATATCATCAGTCAGGTTGTCTTCAAGAAAATACTTAACTTCTCAGAGTTTCCGTTGCACTGTCTTGAATCTGGATGTGGTCCACATTCCTAGCACATATGCTCAGGGAATAGTATCAGCCATGAATGAAACACTGCATCCACAGTGTTGCTCATAATAATGCTGCTGCTGTTGCTTCTTACTTACATGGGTTTATGCATACAGAGGCTTCTCAGAATTCTGAGTCAAGAAGCCTGGCTGGGTCCACTAAGATTCCTAAATCCAAGTGGCAAAATAAACATGGAAATGACCCCCAACATTGGACAAAAACTCAGCCAGCTTGTCCAAAAGCAAAGACGAGAAGGCAAGAAGAGGTAAAAAATCTGCACTCTTGACCATGACTGAAAAGCGCAATTTGGGGGGAGTCAGCCATGGGGGAGGGAATGCTCTAGGGAGGAGGTGGTGGTGATTGCACACTACCCTTTGACATGTTTGAATGACTGAACTATTCAACTCTATGACATGTAAATCATGTGCCAATACAACTGCTGAAAAAATAATAAAAGAAAATAGCAAAAATCTGTTCTTAATCTGCACACAAAAGAAATGGGGCACCCAGGCTGGAAATGAGGAGAGGGCTCACACACTGTGAGGAGTGCAACGAGTGCTGCTAAACACCTTGATGTACAGACTGTTGAATGGGAAGATAATTTGTTGTCTACAGTGACACTGAAAAACAACAGAAAAAATGCAAAAGACAGACAGAAAGAAACTCAGTCAACTTAATATTGGCGACTGTTCAAGCACCTAAGAATGGACGGAACATGGACATGTCAACTTTGAGTTCTTAGGAGAAAGCTGATAGTTTCAGAACTGTGGCTGCACAGGAAAGATAAAGTGAGGAATCCCTCCATAAGGCATCCCACCTTCACAAACAGCTATTGGTGATGTCTCCACTGGTCTGACTCTTACCTGGGAAGACTTGTAGTCCTCTCCGTCTCCAGGAGAGCCACACTCACTTCACTTTTGCAGAACTGA